CACACACACACACACACACACACACACACACACACACACACACACAAGCTGGTGTTGCCAGCTCTCTCATTGGCTCATCGGTCTTTGTCATGCTGTCACAGTGACTTTTGACATTTTCATGCAGCTTTCCAAAATGTCAGCTAATTATCCTCACACCATGCCGCATATCCACTCTTTCACCTCTATATTTCACCCTCATTGTCACAATAGCATTTTATTTTGTTGCCATGTTCATTCATTAAGATATCTTTTTGGTGATAATATATATATATATCATTTTGACAATATTTTCTTCCTTCTTTTAAAGGCTGTGATAATAAACAGGCTGCAAGTGAAGAGAGGATAGCAGCGAACACAACTGGTTAATCCAATGGCTGCCACGATGGCCTTACAGTAGAGTCTTGTCTTCATTATTTCTCTGAATTGGTGCATTTTGCCACTATTTGCAGCTGTTAACTGCTATGTGCTATGAATGTAAAGAGACATAAAATAGGACCAAACAAGAATCCCAATGTAGCATTTGTGTTCCAAAAGGCTTTTCATTGGGGCCCCATTTAAATGCTGAGATTTGGAATTTTGTGAAAATAAACACTGAACTATATAGCGGTTAGGTAATAAAATCGGTCACTTACTGTTTACATAAAAGACAACAGCCTTAAAAGCTAACTTGTTTTATTTCCATGCAATGAAATAAAGATCAAACATCTCAAATGAGACTAAGTACTATAACACTATTGCGTTCATTTATTTAGCAAAAACTAAACTTCACGGGAAGCTGTTCATTGTGAATTGTGCCTTTCAAGTAACTTTAGTGGGTTTAATGTGCAGTGCAGCATCCACCTTATATCCAGACATTACATCCAAATGCAAACATCTTGTAAACATGGTCCGATGTATTTCTTTTTGGGGCAAATTTTAATTCATTAAAAAAATTTGCAAATTAACAATAGGTTTGCAGTCTACATTTGGTGAAAATATAAAAATATATCGCACACTATAAATGTTTTTTTTTCTTTATTAGATTTTTAGGCTATGCATACCACTGCAGTTGGTGTCAATATTGTGATGACATTATGTATTTTCCTTTCATTTTTGCTAACTGTACATATATTTAAAAAATAAGGTTGATCCCACCATTAAATCTACTTTATTCAAAGTTGCTGTTCGTGTGTTTTTTTTATATTGTGTAAAGTATAATTAACAAAACAAAGCACTCAAATATGTTAAAAGAAAAGTTTCAAATTTAGGCTAATTGTTATCAAAACACAAGCTAAAAATGATAAAATAAAAGTTATTTTATCTTTTATTAGGGTAACTTCGAGCCAGGCAATGTTGTGTTGCTGTAGTCGCACTTGGAGGGAAACAGTAAATTAAAGGTACACTCCATTGTTGAGATTTTGTTGCCAGACTTCACAGCTCATTAAAGGGGATGTTGAAGCCGCCAGTGTGCAGAAGGAGGACCCTTTGAGATCTGGTTAGTTTCCTTCTTGCATTCTAATTCACGCATTTTTATAAAGGTGAGCAGAGGTTGGATACATTTTTTAAAAACACAATATGCTTAATTACTCACGATACTTCTACAGTTTTATTCGCTTAGACCAATGTTAGAAGTCAAATATGTGTCACTTTTCGTCAGGCTTTCTCGCAGGACAGCCGTTTGTAGCCCCGGTGCATGCTGGTGCCTTCCCCGCTCTTCTGTCGGGATCCGCCGCTAACGTGAAGCTGGTAAGGATAAAATGGTCAGAGCAATTAAAGGGGAAATGTTGCAAGAATATACCTCCGCTTTGGTCCTAAAATCACATCTAGAGCAGTTGTAAACACTTCTATTGCACCGCAGCGTTACAAAGTTTGCACACGTAGCAGGTGCAGCGCGGTTTTATTCGTGTTGACGCTAATGTTGCACACATCGCATGGCGAGGGACAGGAAAGGGTTAATTTTTTCCGCCGCCGACATTTTTATTCGGCGCTCTACGGCAACTTTTTAACGTACATGTGCTACGAGCTGACACTGCGACTCAACGCTACGCGTCACGTTTAGGTCGCAGTGTGCGTCTTATCTGTTTTTAGATGTGCAGCAGCTCTTGAAGTGGGTTGCTCATCGGCTCTTTGTTACACGGAGCTGTTCAACGGCTGCTGCATGGAGCAGCGTTTGCTAGCAAGAGCTAGCAGCAGTAGCCAAAACTGCATTTTCAGCAAAACAAACAGACGTAGAGGGTGTAGCTGTCATTATCAACGCACGTGTCTTAAAGCTGAGCTGCCGACAGCGTGTTATGCCGCTCACATCACACGGAATCACTCACACATCATTACTTTTATTGTTAGCCTGTGCCCAAGGGTTGAATGAACTTGGGATCATTGCTTGTCTTGAACACTACCCCACTATACCAGTAACGGCCCCTTCATCAGCTCACGCCGGTTTATGTTAAAATCCGAGATTATAAGGAACAACCAACTTGCACGGCGTTTCAGTTTTATCAACTTTGTGGAGCTTATTTTTGGGAACACAAAAGTTTATTATATTTTCAGTGATTGGAGAGTATGGGGGGAGGGGGGGGCTTTTAGGTGATGCCACATTCATTATTGTGCATTTCAATTTAAAGGTATCCGACACCCCGTTGCCTTAAAAAAAGAATACAATAATTATCAAAACTAGTATTTAACAAATTAAAAACATTTAATAACAACTGTGCATTAAAATCGCCATGCAGTTTTTTATTATTTATTTGTAAACTTGTTTCAATCACAAAATACAACACGCCTGCATTAATAATATCACACTGATCTTTGAGTCGTGTTTATAGTAGTAACTTCTAATGTACTTAGGTGTTCCTAATATTTTGTCAACAGAGCTCTGGGACAAGATTTCTATCATTGCAGCAAAAGAGATGCCAACCAGCATCTCTTTTGCTCAACATTTGCATTTATTTTCTTGAGACACCCAGACACTGTCTCTAATCACCAGTTGTATTTATTTTTCATAGTCATTGATGTGGTTCTAGTGGTGCGGACCCAGAGCTTCTTCAGACATGTCTGTGAGGGAGTCTTTTAACCCTGAAAGCTATGAGCTGGACAAGAACTTCAGGCTCACACGGTTTGCTGAGCTCAAAGGCACAGGCTGCAAGGTTAGCTGTCTACAAAAAAATCTGCCTTGAATGTGTTATTTTCTTTACACAGATTAGTGAGGAAATAATACATCAAAATTGTGGTCATTTTCTCTAATCACAGGTCCCCCAAGATGTGTTACAGAAGCTGCTAGAAACCCTGCAAGAGAACCACTATCAAGAGGATGAACAGTTCCTGGGGGCGGTTATGCCTCGATTAGGTAATTCTTAAAATCATATAGCACATTAATAGCAATGCTATCTCTCCCCCACCCCTTCTTTTTTTAAGCATAGCAGCAAATACATGGTCACAGTTCACAGGTCACAAGTGCAGACACTCTAAAATATTACATTAAGAGAGATATTCTTTATGAAGGCATTGGCATGGACACGTGTGTGATCCCCCTCCGGCATGGTGGCCTTTCTCTTGTCCAGACAACAGACTACATCTATCCCATTGTGGATGACCCTTACATGATGGTAAGGACCTTCCCTTCTTCATTAGCATTACTTTTCTGGTTTTCTTTCATTAAATTACTTTGCATACCAAACCTGTATGTGATGAATTTTCATGGTCTCTTTTCTATAGGGAAGAATTGCTTGTGCCAATGTTCTAAGTGACCTGTACGCCATGGGAGTTACTGAGTGTGACAACATGTTGATGCTTCTGGGAGTCAGCAACAAAATGTCAGAGAAAGTAAGACACATCTTGCTTAAGTAAAGCTACACTTGCTGGACACTTTACTAGTACCGGGTTAGACATCCTTTTGGCTTCGCAAATGTTTTAATTCTTTGAGATTCACCAAAGTGCTGAAATAATTTCTTTGGAGATTTTGGTCTATATTGACATGATGGCTTCACACAGTTGCTGCAGATTTGTTGGATGCACATCCAAAAATCCATCCAAATTTTGACCTTTTATCTTCCGAGTGTGGCACCACAAATTGAGACCCATCAGACAAGGCAACATTTTTCCAGCCTTCTATTGCCCTGTTTTGGTGAATTTGTGTAACTGTAGCCTCAATTTCCTGTGTGGTCTTCAGGTGCTCTGGTGTGTAGATGCCTTCAGGTTTGATGTGCTGTGTCTTCAGGGATGTGTCTGCAGACCTTGGTAGTAACAAGTGGTTATTAGAGTTACTGTTGTCTTCCTATCGGCTTGTAATGGTCTGGCGTTTCTTCTAACATGCCTGACATCCAGTATTTGCTGGATAGTTTCTCTTTTTTGGACCATTTTCTGTACACCCTAGAGATGGTTACAAAGGAAAATCCCAGTAGATCAGCGGCTTCTGAAACGCTCAGACCACTAGCACCCATGTTATGTTCAAAGTTACTTAAATCAGCTTTTATCTTAAATCAGCCCATTCTGATGTTCAGTTTGAACTTCAGCAGGTTGTCTTGACTGTGCCTCCATGCTTAAATGCATTGAGTTGCAATCATGCGATTTGCATCAATGAGCAGTGGAACAGGTGTACGTAATAAAGTGACGGGTAATTTCATGCAATAGCCCTAGTACTGGAATCATATTAGTTTGGGACATCTCTTATTATCATCAGTGCATTTAAAATGTCCCGAGCCTCGACTCTGACATTCTTCTGTGTTTACAGGAGAGAGACAAAGTCATGCCACTGATCATCCAGGGATTCAAAGATGCATCAGAGGAGGCAGGGACGTCTGTAACAGGAGGTCAGACGGTGCTCAACCCCTGGGTAGTGATGGGAGGAGTTGCAACAACAGTTTGCCAGCCCAATGAGTTTATCATGTAGGAATGAGTTCCTGCTGCATATTTTGCTGTTTTTTGCTTCCTTGGGTGCCTTAAAACAAGCTTGACGATGCTGTGTCTGACGTTTTTCAGGCCAGACAATGCAGTGCCAGGAGATGTGTTGGTGTTGACCAAACCACTTGGAACACAAGTGGCAGTTGCAGTGCATCAGTGGCTAGATATTGTAAGTCTGCCAACTCGTTTCTGAATAATTTTGTTAAAAACCTGTTGTTTAATAATAACCAGTAACATCACTGCCTATTTATGCTTTCTTTGTGTCTCTGAAAAGCCTGAAAAATGGAACAAGATCAAGCTGGTGGTGACGCAGGAGGACGTAGAGCTGGCCTACCATGAAGCCATGATGAATATGGCTCGGCTCAACAGGACAGGCAAGACCATTAAGAGCATGTGACCTTTTCTGCCTGCCTAAACTTTTGATTATTCTCGGTTACATTTTAACAATAGCATTACCGAGAATGTGGTTCTAATGACTTTGTTTTCTCTAGTAATTATTTGTTAGTAAGAATGTAATGAGTATTATTACCCATTAGATTCTATTATATTACTAGTTGACATTATTGCATCCAGATTACTTGAGTGTTTGCAGATTTTTGGCAATAAACAAATTGATCATCATGATGCCTTTCTTACTGTCTTTTGCTTGCAGCTGCGGGTCTCATGCACACGTTCAATGCTCACGCAGCGACCGATATCACAGGGTTTGGCATCCTCGGCCACGCTCAGACGTTGGCACGACAACAGCGAAGTGAGGTGTCTTTTGTCATCCACAACCTCCCAGTGCTCGCCAAGATGGCCGCCGTGTCTAAAGCCTGTGGGAACATGTTCGGGCTCATGCATGGCACCTGTCCTGAAACATCAGGTGTGTGCGTGTGTATTTTAATGTTTTCAAGACATTGAGATTTTACCAAGGAATGCATTGAGGAATGCAGTAAGTTCTGGAAAAAGATCTTAGAAAATGAAAAAGTGTAACTAGAGGCAGCTCAACTGAATTTTATGTGCCATCAGTAAGGTAAAGCCACTTCTCACTGTAACTGATTTTACAAAAGACTGTGGTTCTGTTATTATTAATCAGCTTCTTTCTCTTTGGGGAAAAATTGTTTGGGGATGTGAATTGAGAGTTTAATCTCCTAACAATTAGGTAGCTAAATAAGTAAAGCAGCAATAATAACAGACCATAATTGGTTGATGTTCGGGGAGAGAAGCAAGACATGTTATAAAAATTTTACATTTTGATGTTTTGTCTGATTGAAAGTCCTGAGATTGTAACTATTAAAGGTTGAAATTTGGCCGAGGTTCAGCTGTCCTTCTGATTTATCTTTTAAGCATATCAGACTTTATAGGCCATTAATTTCTTCAAGACAGTGTTGGAAGATGGCAAGCGTGTGTAATTGAGGCAGTTTGATGAAGGCGCGCATCTACAGTCACATAAGTGTCTTTGCTTAACTATGTGGAGATGTTACAGAAGCCGAAGAAGTTGTTAAATAATCTACAGGAACTTGAGCGCATCAGTTAAAAGATCTATCTGTGTGATTAGTTTATCTGCTTAATGTTTCATGCTGTGATCAACAATCTGCAGCAGAATTGATATCAAATCTGTTTTCACACATGCACTTTATGCATTAGAGCTGTGTTTTTTTTGTTTTTAAAAAAAAGTCTGTTATATCCAGTTGGGCCCATGTGGGAGTGGTGCACATCATGGAGAATTTGCAGAAAGCCAGTGGATGTCATACTACCTGCAGGCAGTATTTCCAATAGTGAGAACACCTCAGGCACCGATAATCTCCAGCTGTGTGCTACATGCAAGAAATGGCAAATTTGGACCTTGTGAATTTGTTCATGTATAAAAATGCCTTTAGAGTTATCTGTAAGAAGGCCGAGTACTCCCTAACAGTGTCATATTCTAAAAATGAGTGATTTAATTAGACTTAAATCTTCATTTAAGTCACTTGTCTGACAACATCTCCTTTCATTTCTAGGAGGCCTGCTTATTTGTTTACCTCGAGAACAAGCTGCCCGCTTCTGTGCCGAGATCAAATCCCCAAAATACGGAGAAGGTCATCAAGCATGGATCATCGGGATTGTAGAGAAAGGAAACCGCACTGCTCGCATCATTGACAAACCACGAATCATAGAGGTGGCACCACAGGCGGCCACACAGAATGTCAATCCAACACCTGGTGCAACTTCTTAAACCTCCTCTGTTGCATCACAGACCGGACCCCAAAAGCTCTGAGTGATTTTAGACACATAAACTACAGAACCATCCTAGAGTGTTGAAATATATACACAAATAGTATGTACACAGAAAAGACTGGGTTGGCGTGCCATCAACATGAAAACAGCTCCACACAGTGGCCCCGTGGGGGCACATCACTACCCAGTGGACTCCACCTGCAGTATCCCCGCGATAAAAATTGGTAAGAAATAGAGCATTCTTAAAATCCACTTGCTTTTGTTGTCTATTGTACTCTGTTATGTTCAGTGTGCTTGACAGCTTCTGATAGGAGATAATCTGATACTGCTGATTCATTTTGAATCATTAGGAAGTCTGGAGTCGGTTGCCTCTTTGGCTCTCTTAAAACTGCTCTCATCAAACCATGGTGGCGTTTTTGTTTATTGTTCATTTACTTTGTTGTACAGTTATACAGCTGAGTTTTAGTTCATTGTTGTAACTGATGCCTTGAAAGAAAATAAGTGCGACCAGAATGGCTTGTTTTTTATTACTTTGACTTTTTGTATTGTCCCTGCATAAACTAATAAACCATCATCTATTTGAAATTTGGTCTCACTTGTGTGGATAAACTAAATCAAATTGGCCATGTAGTTACAGTGTAGTTACAATTTTGAACTAAAGTTTTATAAAAAACAGATACTTCTCTAAAGTGGTTTCTTATTGTTATACATCATCGTGTGGTCATAGATACATTAATATCTGCAGAACCCTCAGGAGATAAACTGTAAACCATCTGCATTCTCATTATGTCATGTTTAACATAATACAAAATCGGAATGTTATATGAAAAACTGCCTAAAACTTCATTGTTAGTCCACAAGTACAGGATCTTTTTTTTTTTTTTTTCACCTCATCATTGCCAGAGTATGTACGGCAAGAACGCTGATTTACAGTGAAGCTTCCAGCTGGTCAAAGGTCAGATAGCAGGGATAAATCGGGAAGCTCTCTGTAAAACTTCAGGAACATGTCAAAATCCCCCTTGCCACCTCTTAAAATAAACTTCTCTAATAAAAAAAAAAAAAGTTTTTCTGTGTCTGTCGTCAATGTATTTAAAAGCACAAGTACTCATTTTATTCTGTAATGAATAGGAATACAAAACTGTGCAAAAATCTTGAGTCACTATTCATTTCTTCATATTTTGCAAAGAAATTGTGAAATAGCTGCAGCGAGTTATTGAAACGTTCAAGAATTAATCTGAATACAGTAAACGAGACAGAAATAGAGTTTATACAAATGTAACAAGTTTGAAAGTCAACATTTGGTATGATCACTTTTATTCTTCAACACAGCATGAACTCTCTTAAAGTTTGTTGTAATTCCTTTAAGTAGTCTTCAGGAATACTTTTCCAAGCTTCTTAAAGGACATTCAAATCTCTTCTTTAGATGTTGACTGCATTCTGTTCCTACACTGCTTCAATAATGCTGAGATCTGGACACTGGGGAGACCAATTCATGAGTGGTAGTGCCTGCCCACCAATTCTTTTATACAATAAAGACATGAACTTCAGATAGGCTTTATCTGCTTTGGATAGTTTTTATACTTTATTCCTGTCAAACTGTGTTTTCTTGGGCAATTCTTGTAGATTTACATACAGTAATGGGAAAAAATTGCATGTTTTTGCAACAAAATGTTATTAACAAAATGCTTTAATATGACTTAATATTAGTACTTTGCTAACTTTTCTGTTGCATGTTTACACAACACTGGTTCACGGCTCGACTTAGGCGTCTTCTTATGCTTGAATGAATCATATGTCAGTTTTATGTCGCTTAACACCCCCCCCCCAAAAAAAAAAAAAAAACCCAAAACAAAGACTAGTCTGTACAGAAACATAGTGAAAAAGCAGCCAGTGTCCAGAGAAAAACTTTGAATGATCTTCAGAAATCTTTCGGAGCTCAAGACTACTTAAAGTAATTACAAATACACCTGGGTCCTTGGAAGCCAAATATAAAGAAATTAGGGCTGGTTTAAGACTTTTGCACAATACTGTATGTCATCCACAAATTTACCAGTATGATGAACTATTTTCTATTGATTTGTATTCATGGAGCAATGCTTGCACAAGAGTTTAAGGAGACAATTCACTCTCCTGAACACAAGCTCCTAATTTTGACAGCAAATTTCCCACAGCTCTCACTAAGACCTGTCAGTGCATTGCTGCTCTGTCATGCCTCTTTCAGTCCCTACACTATGTCATATATTTGTCTATCTATACACACACACAGCTGATGTAATCATTTCAAACTGAATTTTCCAATCTTCCACAGCAGTGCCACAGAAATCACTGATGATGACTGCACTAGTTATGCATTAGTTGCATTTAGTGTGTTATATTTTTAATCACTAATGACAGCCGCCTTAAAATCAACAGAAAATTCTTAAATACAGGCACGTAACAAATAATTTAGATCTGCAAATACAAGAGCACATTCTTTTGGCAGATATATTTACAGCTTTCATAAGATCATGAATAAATACATATTGTAGCTTTATTTACATTACATTGGATTTATATACAGTGAGGGTGGTATGTGTATGTGAGGAACTATTGTGTAAAAAGAAATACATTTCTTTATCCCCGAATATAAACAGGAAAAACATAGATGTGTAATAAATATTGTTTTTGTCTGAGAGGAATGCCAAGCTCCTGTGCCGTGACTCACCACAGCAGCCCAACCTGTCACCAGAGCCTTGTTTTATTTTTATGAATGAAGACTGAGTCACAGGTTGTATGTGCTCCAAATCCAACATACCCTGCCACACTCTCTGTTATATGTGCTTTTTCCCATTTTCCAGATGGACATACTTTGCATTCTGTGCTGTCTTATCATTTTCAGACTTGAAGAGAGCTTGGATGTCAAGCATGGCCTTTTGAATATGCTGACCAAAACGATATGAGTCCTGCAGGTCAGACAGAGAAGGAGCAATCAGAGCAAGAGATAAAAACAGGAAGAGTTGGATCTATAGTATGCAGTGCTCTTTTTTCTGTCTTACTGTGTCAGGACTGGAGAACTTGCTGGAGATGTGGAATGTGATGAGGTTTTCCCCAACAATGATATAAGACACACCGTAACCATCGTCAGCTACCTAAAAAAAATAACAAAGAGACGCTGTTACATTTCACATAGCCCTCCTTGATCAGGCCAGCAGGTAAGAAAGCTATGACTGTAACTTTTTGCACATGTTCATATTGCATCAAATTAACTCACAGGGCCAAATCCACCCCCACCACACACATATTTCGGGAACTTGTTGATGTCAACTAAATTGAGCTGCTGCTGTGGAGTCTGGCTGGTGGACAACTTCCAGGGCTCCGAAAGCACCTTTAAGCATTACGCAAAGACAGTGAATTTAGTTTGGAAAAGAGCATTATACAACAAAAACACATTAAAAACACATGATAGATAATAGAGCTAACCTTAGTAAGAAATGGTGAGTCAACACCAAGGTATTTAGATACTATATAGAGACAGAAAAGGTGACGATCGATCCCAGAACCAGTCATGGCCAGACGATACATGTTTTGGTGCTTTTCTGCTGCTTTCCGAAACAGGGCAAGTCTCTGGGCATTCTGACAACATAAACAACAGGCAATGTAGTTTCTAATATTTCTAAATAAATAAATAAAAACTGCATTTAAATAATTTTTAGATTTCTTTATCAATGAAGGAAAGTACCAGCTTGACCCTGTCAGAACATCCAAGAGCTTAAAGTCCAGGGCACTGACACACATTACCTCTAGGTCTTGGTCACCATGGTCTTAGTAGAACAACATGTTCTTTAACAATGTGACCCATCGGAAAATCTAAAACTGATACATGAACGTCCCGTGACTACAAGATAAACATTATAAACCACATTAAGTCCAAAGTTGTTGTCTATTTTTATTAAAAACTTCTCCATTAAAATGCCTTTGACCTGTGATTCTCTTTATACACACCTGTCGAGCAGCTGAATGATATGACCTTTTTATTTGTTGTGGACATGGTTATTTGTTTTGCCTACCGTCGCACCAGCGTCCTCCATGGCTCTGACGAATGCAACCGCCTCAGAAGTGCAGGAGCGCACTGTCTCTGTCCGCCCATCTCTGAACATACGTGTCATCGATGATTCGTACGTCAGACAGAACACACGCTGGTCCTATAAAGCAAAGAGTTATCTATTAGTTGATGGTTGTAGATACATTTAAAGAAATGTCAGTGATTCTATGAACTATGGCAGGCCTACCCTAAACTGGGCCAGCTGCAAGGCCAGCTGAATAAAGGCATCAGGGCTTGTTCTGCACTTCTTGATCAGGCCTTTTCCAAACTCAGCAAACAGATAGCCATGGAAGTCCACATCATCAGCTATCTGCTTGGCTGAGAGGTATGACGTTTCAATGACATTTTGGCACTTAGAGAGGGTAAAAGAATATCCTAATTAGTTTGTGTACAGATCTAAAACACCATTAAATTAAAAGAAAAAACTAAAAACAATACTGGATATAAGAAATAAATACAAATTTTTCTATACCTCATTTGGAATCTGCCATTGTAGTCGAGTGGGATGAGGCAGGTTTTTGTTCACATCCCCTTTACAATGTCCCTCCTCAGTGTATCCAAGATGGAAGCAGTCTGTTGCTAGAATATACTAAAAAGAAAAAAAAATGCAGCTGAAGAAAATTTGCATTCTTTGAATCATTATTTTAGGATATTTTCAGAACACTTTTCCTACCTCCCACATGTGTCCTACAATTGGTGCATCAGCCCAAGAATGTTCAACATTTACACCCATTTTTCCATTTGGATAAGAGATCAATGTAAAAGATTTGTCAAACCACCTGCAAGAAAAACCCCAACTTCTTTTAGGGAATCAGTTTGGTCAAAGTCAATAAAAGGCTTGGTCTTCTTTGCCTACCTGTCATAACATTTTCCATGCAGCAGGGACTTGGCGTAGCTATCAAGTGAGTTGGTCTTTGCAGGATCGTAACCCTGCGGCTCATCATCCAGTGTCAGGAAGAAGGCAGCTGACTCGATTGCATCCAGGGATACTTTGTTTATGCCCTGGCTAAAATATTTTATCCGAGCCTGAGCCCATGGAACCCTAAGGGTGAGAGTGAGACTGTTTCCCTTTTCTGCTGAAAGTGTTTGAACATTTAACCTGCTTACCTGCTTTTTTAAGGTGTTTTTTGTTTGTATATACCTGTATCCTGCTGTCAGGGCAGCTAGTTTGAGCTCTCCTGGTTGAGGTTCTGATGTATCATTGAGAATCCTTTGAAACTGTGTTTCAAGTTCACTGGGCAAAAGGTGACGGCCTCCAGTGTAAAGCCACACCTGGAAGAACCGACCCTTGTGGAAGACAACCAGGTGTTTCCGATCAGTCAGGTGCTGCACAAAATCTGTAAAGATTGTTAAGCCAGTAAAAAATTCGATTTAATTTAAGTTACACACAGTGACTTACTGAAAGCACAGCATCAAAGATATGTCCCAGTAGCTTTACAGAGTGATGGAACCTATTTGCTGTGAAATCATTAATAGAGATGTACCCACTAGTGCTGCATACTGG